GGCAATTCATCGTCTTTCTAAATTTTAACGCGTCTTAGGGCCGTAGTACGGTAGTGACACTTTTCCGGACATGGGTCCCTATACTCAAATGTTTTCTACTGTTGCACTGAATAACCCCTAGAAGTTTGATCCCATAGTTCTGAAACACCCTGTATGTCTATGCGGTGAGAGGATCTTAAGGTGATTGGTCCCCCACCGCTCTTATTGTAAGAGAGAGAGACAACTACTCCAGCACTATCTCTGTCCTTTAATGTTGTTCTCAACTTCGTTATATCAATGTTCCGTCTATTATATAAGTCTATGGTTCAAACTTGCTGTATTTCGGAGCTGATACTCCAGGCGGTGCTGACAACAGCGTTCCCCTTCTCACAAGAGGTCAAGTGACAAAGTTAAACCGCCTGGTGGCTGCTCTGTCTTCTATCTATCTACAAGTATGTACAATGCATGTTTTTCGAACTTGGACAAGCGTCGATAATCGCTTGTAAAAGTGTACGATGTGTCAGTTTACTTTTACGTCTTTTTCTTAAAACAATAAAACACTGAAAAAGATTTTGCACACAAAACTTGTTTGGTGTAAAGTTGGTTGTTTTTGACAATTTTGACAAGTAATCAAATGTGCAATGTAGTATCTAGTAACAGGTTATTTTGTTATAATAAATTATTAACGAGAGAATTGGGAAATATTGAGAAGTTTTTTAACTAATATCTAAATAGTAAAATTTATATAAACAAAATATTGTAAAAACAAAGAATACAAAAGAGTGATACCATGTATGTTCTCAAACAGACACCGAAGAAGAGGAAAAAGAAGTCACTTCATAACATTTCACCGTGTTTTGTGAACAGAAGCCTACAAAAAATGTTGAAGCGTAACTTTTTAAAGACATCGTGGTGCAGATTACGAACACGGTATGTGCACAAAAACGTTTCTCCTCCTGAGCGAGAATTCAAAATTAAGGATTGCGAAATCGCGAAAATACGCAACATTGGTATACTGGCCCATATTGACGCTGGTGAGTGCAAACTGTTTCTCTAACGTCACTACTAAAAGTAATTTTGTCCAACTGATACGATCACGTAAAAGTGTATTTTTCTTTCAGGAAAAACCACAACAACCGAACGAATGTTGTTCTACTCGGGTCTCATCAAAGATATGGGAGAGGTGCATCACGGGAACACCGTGACCGATTACATGGAGCAGGAACGTCAACGCGGAATAACAATCACCTCAGCCGCTGTTTCGTTTAACTGGAAAGACTATCGGTTTAACTTGATCGACACTCCCGGTCATATCGACTTCACTATGGGAGTCGAACAAACTCTGCAGATATTAGACGGCGCGATTGTGATCTTGGACGGTTCCGCTGGCGTGGAAGCTCAAACAATAACGGTTTCCAGACAAGCGGACAGATACGATATACCGCGGATTATTTACGTTAATAAAATGGACAGAGCCGACGCGGATTTTGACATGAGTTTAAGGTCTATTGAATCTAAATTAAACGTAGAGACGTTACCTATACACATCCCCGTGAAAGAAGCGGGAGTTCTAGAAGGTATTGTGGATCTGATAACTATGGAAAAGTTAATGTTTGACAAAAAGTGTCAGGGCATGAATTTGATCAAGACGAAACTGACTGAAAAGGACGACGGAAAGCTGTGGAACATCGCTTCTGAGAAACGGTTGATATTGACAGACAAGTTGTCAAGCTTGGACGATCAATTGGCTGATGTTATCATAGAACAAGAGTCTCTGGAGAACGTGCAACCGCAGATGTTGGTCGATTCTCTGCGTAGAGTCACTTTGAGCAGAAAAGGCGTGCCCGTAACATTGGGAAGTTCCTACAAGAATACAGGGGTTCAACCTCTGATGGACAGCGTCGTTCTCTATCTGCCATCACCGGCGAACGTGAGCAACTCGAAACCTTATCGTTGCTTCGAGAACAATCTGTCGGCTAGAGTGTTCAAAATCGTTCACGATAGTCTACGGGGTCCGATAACGTTCTTCCGGATCTACTCTGGCAGCATGAAGAAAAGCCAGAAGCTGTACAACGTGACGCGCGAGCAGAGCGAACAGTGCACGCGCCTTTACATTGCATGCGCCGATGACTACGAGGAGGTGGCCGAAGTGAGTCGTGGCAATATCGCGGCCGTAGCTGGACTCAAAGGTACCGTTACAGGCGACCTAGTGACGAGCAACATGTCTGCTGCCAATCGCGCCAAACAAATCATGTCGAAAGCAAACCCGGACCAGCCAGATTACGTGAGGAACTTCTTCGCGTCCGGAGTCAACCTGCCCGATCCGGTGTTCTTCTGTTCCATTGAACCGCCGTCTCTGTCAACTCAATCCGCTCTCGAGACCGCGCTACAAGAGTTGCAGAGAGAGGATCCCAGTTTGCGCGTGAAAATCGAATCAGATACGGATCAGATTGTTCTCTCGGGGATGGGCGAGCTGCATATAGACATTATCAAGGAGAGGATCAGAAGTGAGTACAAGATCGATGTGGACCTGGGCCCTTTGCAGATCGCCTATAAGGAAACAGTCCAAGATCCAATCAAAGATACGCTGGTCCTGGAACACAAAGTCGGTCAGACAAAACATCACGTTAGCATAACTATGTCCTTGATTCCCAACTACGAGGAAAAAGAGAAATTGCTCTTGGACAGATCCACTCCCGACAACGCATCGAACATTGACGCCATTCATCCGCGAATAATGAACGCCATCAAGAACGGCGTGAACGCCGCGTTGTTGCACGGGGTAAGGTTGAGCTGCCCGGTGGTCAACGTCGGTGTTAAACTGCACTGGTTGGAGGTGACGCGTGGCACTTCGGACACCATCGTCTCTGCTGCCACCTCGCAGTGCATTCGAAAGGTCAGTTTACGTAATAAAACATTTTATAAATGTCTATTTTGTGACTATACTGTTACGTCCGGGTGCGACTTTTGAAATAACAGATGCGAGAATTTTGTAGAAAGAACACTATTTATTAGCTAACAATAAAATACAACTCGGCTCGAATTAGTTAACACCGCACCCGGATGTGACAACACTTCTATTTTTCTATTTCGTCGCTTAGTGGACGATATATTACATGCATTATTTAAATTATTTAGCTATTTCAAAATCAAACACATGTGGCGAAACAAACGCAAATATTTTTTTTCATGTGTAGTCAAACAAACTCATGAAAAAGAAATTAGAACTTATCAGTTAGTGCGAATTCATTGACTTGTTGATCGTCTCTGCTTATTTGTATTGACGGATTTTTTGTGCAGTTACTCCAAAACGGAAACAGCATATTACTAGAACCCATTATGCGATTGGAGATCGTAGCACCAGAGGAATATTCCTCAAATATCAATAATGATCTCAATCGTAGACGAGCGGAAATGCAAGAGATTGCCATGCGTGGCAACAATAAGGTGAACATATTCTAATCTATTTGTGCAATAAATTTTAATTTTTCGATTTCAATATTTGTTTTGAATCATTCGCTTTTTGTTTTACAGATAATGAGATATCTAGCGCCGTTGTCAGAATTATTGGGATATTCGACAACGCTGCGCATCGTCACGTCGGGAAACGCGACATTTTCGTTGGAGTTCAACCACTATCAACAAATGAGCGCCATTGACGAGGAGGAGGCGATCGAAAAGGCCAGAGGATTCTGAATCTTGGATAACGAAGAACAACAAAAGTAACGAATTTTCTAAAGAAGAGAATTTCAATTTTAATTAATTTTATTTTTTCAATCTAATCAAAATATATTGCAACATTTATCATTGGTGCGTTACAATCTCCATATATTTTCGACAGCGACCACTAAGCACAACACGAAAAAACAATCAAATCGGAGAATTTCTCTCGACTAAAAAAGAACTCACCGTGTGTCTCGTGATTTTCGTGCGTCCTAGTTTAACAGTCGCGTACAAATATATTAATATTGCTTAAGATCATGCAAAATGTCATACATAGTAAAATACATGTATGTTGTGTATATATTATAATCGTATGGAGGGATTAAATGTTATAATAATGTCGCGTGAAAAACTGGAAAAAAAAAAAAAACAACAGTCGCATGTATAAAAACGATTTTTTGTCGCAGGTAGTGAACGAGGATCTTCAGTTTTTGTACGTACACGAATGTACGCAAAACAAAAAAGAATGAATACATTGGAGATCTGTAAAATTCCTGTGATCGTTCAATCTCTACTTTTACCCACGTCCGACAGGTGTTTATCGAATCCACAAATTTATGCGAACTGCTGTCGATGTTAAGCGCAATGAGCTCTTACGACTCCTCAATGTACTTAGGTTTGAGCTAAACTTGGGTTTTTTTTGTTTTTTTTTGTTTTTTTTTTTAACCTTACATCCTAAAATTTTCATTTTCTCTCTCTCTCTCTCTGTATAGAAGTATGGTATAAAATTGTATTTATCTTCCGTGTGAATCGCTTACAAAAACATGACGAATCTTACGTTATTCTTAATTTATTACTTTAAACTTTAAATATATACTTGTATCACTTGCGCAGACATATTATTGCATCATATCTGCGACAATTTCTATTCTTTTTTTTTTATTTTTTTTTATTTTTAAATTGCAAATAGCTGGGCGCTGTTCTCTCTTCAAAAGTATCTGTTTTTTTTACAATTTGTTGCAACGAATAACAATATAGATAATTGTTACAAGTTTTTTTGTTTCTTTATAAGATCAATACAAGAAAATTTTTTCAAAACTTTCAATTATTGACAAGAATTCATTTCTCGTCTGTCCACAAATGGCAAAATACTGAGACTTACGTTGCAAAGATCATTGAAATCTACAAATACGAAAGAATTCCATTTCCGATCAATGCGCTCGTAGCAAAAATCACCGATGGTAACAATTTTTCTCGTTTTATTTTTTCTGTTTTTTTTTGCGTAAGAACAATCTTTAAAATTATCCTTATTGTTTTCTTTAACAGACAAATAATTTATAAATGTTTGTTCTAATCCTGAAAGACGGACAACGATCTTTTCGTGATTGTAAAAATGCATACAAAAATCGCATTTGTCTAATAAAAGCAAAATCGCGTGAAGAGCTTTTTTTAAGAGCGACCGAAAAAATTTCGTTGTAAAGAGCACGCGTATAATAATACTTCTGCTCTCCCTTCCAGAGAAAGATTAATAAAACTTCCTTCGCGTCATGGTACACATTCTATTCTCATTCGGGATCGTTTTCTTCTCGCGATCCGTGCTCTTCCATGTCTTCGTGGCGTCACAAGCTCACGAGCTTCGGATTCGCGTCCGGGGAACTGAGATCTACGGCGGACAGGTTGTTTCTCTGTTGCGTCGAGCACGACGGTATCAGGGGCGTGCCGGAGACCGGCGTGAGGCCCGTGCCGCCTTCCATCAGGGACTCGAAGTTGAACGGTATGCCGCTGGTCGGGGTGGTGATCGGCATTCCACCAACGTCCATCGACGGTTTCATGAAGGCCGGTGTCTCCACTTTGAAAGCGAGGGTGTCCGGTCTATCTAGCGACAGGGAATTCAGTCTGTTGTTGTTGTCCAATCCGACCGGCAGCGAGTTGGGTCTGTTAGGTCGTGACGTTGTCACCGGCACTGTCGACGCGTCGTCCTTCACAGTCTCGGCGGCGGCGGTGATGAACTGATCGTCGCTCGGGAGATCGGCCTTGATCACCGGCTTTACGTCCGGCGGCGATGTGGAGCGCAATGAGCGACGGCAAACAGCTCTGTGAGCCTCCAAGATGAATTCCAGCTCATCTTTGGTTTGCTGCAGCGCCTGAATCTCGTCTTGCAAGCTTTGCTTTTTCTGTTCCAAGCCCTCGGTCTCCTATAAACATAAAATATCCTATAATGTCTTTTTATTTTTTGTAACGATACATTTGTCACTTTGAATAATTTGCAAATCGTCTTATGAGCGAGAGATTGGAATTCCTGATCGGATCCCACCGCACACGACGAACTCACACGTCGTCTAAATTCATAAATAGTCGGCACTCACTTCGAGTAGGGCATTGGTGTGGTCCATTCTTCGCTTGCGGCATCTCGCCGCTGCCATCTTGTTCCTCTCGCGCCGGATCTGTCGCCTTTCCTCCTCCTCGGGGGTCATCCCGACCGTTCGGGTGGGTCTTCTGCCGCCCATGTTGCGTCTAATCGCGGGCTGCTGCGGTTGCGGCTGCGTCTGTTGTTGACCCTCGACGACGGTGGTCGTTGTGGGTACCAAAAGATGCGTCGCCGTCGTGTTCTGCGTCTGTGCCGGAGTCGGCTGCGAGGGTTCGACTAAAGGCGGGACGAAACCGGCCTCGCGACTGTGCGACGCCGACTCGTTTGTCAGTTCCAGGAACGTTTGCTCGATGCTGCGGAGGGTGGTCGGCGTTAGCGTCGGCGTCGTCCTGGTCGGCACTCCGCTGTGCAGTCCGTCCAGAGACACCAGCTATAACACAAAAATAACGTAGACGTCAGTTAAAAACTATGTCACTCTTTCTTCTTTTTTTTTTTTTTTTTACAAGAAGAAGCTCGTAATTTTCACGAGGATAAAAATATTTGTTTTTGCATGAAAAAATTTGTTCTGCGACGCAAAGTTTTTCTGACGTTATTTTGTTCGTTCGGGAAGAAACTGATACTAACGGAGGAGCGATATCTCCGACTTTTCAGGTCGATATCAGTCGGAGTTAATCTCGGCCAAGATGGCTCGATAAAAATATCCAATGCTAGTCGATAACGTATCACCGCCGTATCAGATGGTTCGAGTTACAATCCCGAAGACGCGTGTATCGTCGTCGAAAGTACAAGCGATGCAGTTTGCGATTATAATTCATGTACAGCTTTTTGTGATTCTTTCCTCGCGCTCCTCTCGTCGCGGTAATTTAATAGCGACTCGAGGCGCGCGCACGTGCCTGCGTTGATGACGTTGCGCAATGCTGGTAATTTCGCCTCGAATTAAAAGCGTTATTTTCATACGGCAGCGATCGGCGGTAAGGACGGCAAAAAGAATTCGCGGTCATCCGAACTTACCAACGGTTTCACCGAGAAAGAGGGGGAGAGAGAGAGAGAGAGAAACAAACTTTGTCGGAACCGCCGTCTCTCGCTAACCGCAAACAATATATTAACGAGCACCTCGAGTCGCAGCTCACGTAGCGACAACCTCGCGCGCCATTATCGCACTGTCCAATCGCCGGTCGGGAACGTAATCTATACGCGATGCGCGTTTCCCAGAAAGCACAAAAGGACGCAGGAAGGAGAAGAGAGAAGGCATGTCCTTCGCTCTCTCGCGCGCGCAGAGAAGACACACGAGGCTCGCTATCATTTCTAAAATTACGAATTGCCATCTCGCTAATGAAGGTCGTCGCCGTGTCGGTGAAAAATATCGCGTTGCGTACGTTTTAAGGAGGAATGTACACTAACAAACAAAATTATTACGTACGCAAAGTAACGTGTCAAAACGATGTCGAATACGTATTTTTCGAAGATAACAAGGTAAGAAAACATTTATAATAAAGAAACGAAACAATTTTCTGAATTGGTTTTAAAAATAGCACACTTTTTTGTATCGATCAATTGAAATTGATCGATACATTTCGCGCGTCTCAATCGCGGTTTATTTCTTCGGTCATTTCTTTTGAAACGCGATGCGCGGTTCGCATATAAAAAGAGACGACCACGTGGAATGAACCATCCGATTCAGTCACATCGATCGATGCATCTCTCTCCCGGCGCATCCGTGACGAAAGAAAATATCGTAGGCAACCGCTTTAAAGTGTCATCGCTAAAATTACTTAGCATAGCTCTCTCGGAACACACACGGCCGATTTCAAGCGTCGCGCGCCACCCACCGACCGGAGCTGCTGCTTCTCTCTCGCCCATCGCGCGCGCACGGCGGCAATCTCAGGAATGTCCGGAGCGTTAAACTTGGGCGTTACCAAATCATGTTCCGTTCGCGCGGCGACGTCAAAAGACCGCTGCCGGCATTTCGGTCCCGCGCGCGTAAAAACGCCAAAAGTCAATTATTCCCGGAACTTTTGTCTGACTTGACGTACGTCGAAGATCGATCGGTCGAAAATGTCAGCGTTATTTATCGAGCTAAACATTCTACCATGTGAATGCACGTCATGTTTTTTGCGTCAGCGACAACGAAGTCTTTACGTCAAATCTTTGTGATCAACTAGTTCTCTAGAATCGATTATCTTTCATTTATTACCGATGTCCTTTGCGACACCTCGCGTTTGGCACACGATGAACAACAATTTTACGACCGTTCAAAACCGAACTTCGCACATTGCGTGTTTACTACATAGATATCAAAAGACAAAACTCCGCGCGAGAGTAAAACAAGGCGATATTTTTTTTATCGAATGATGTTTGCTTTAAAATCGAACCAACTCTCGCAAATCGATAGGAGAGTGTACAGCAAACACATAGATGTGGCATTTCTGTTTTTTTTTTTTTTTTTTTTTTTACGCATTATTTATATTTTGACAATAGAAATTTATTTTTGAGAAATTTTCTTTTTGATAAAAATAAGAAGAAAAAAAGACATTTTTGCTGATGATAAGTTTTCAATTAATTAATTAAAGAATCTTTAAGGCTCCGAAGTTTCCAAACTAATAAATATATATTCGGTCATGAGAGCCGTTCGCTAGGTGTTGTGCGGAAATTATACGTGTATATATATACATATATACGTGTTCACGTGTAAATTTTTACACGTGAAATTCGAATTGTAATAACAATTCTAAAATTCATATAGGATGCTATACTTGCATCTCGTATATGAGAGATCTAATAAAAGAAAAACCAAATACCAAATAATTTTTCAATTTGTCATCAACGATTTCCGGCCATTATCGACGACCTTCAGGCCATTCACCTTGTCTCGCATTGTTTGTCACATCATTTGAACTTTGTTCGCAAACAAGTTATCACTTACACACGCCGTGCATCATTCGACTCATTTCTTCGCATTACGTGAATCATTTTCACACGTGCGACGACCTCGCTTTGGCAAGTTCGTCGTAAATAGGAGTTTATTTCGGTATAAAACACATAGAAGATAATTTATAGAAACGAAACGTAATAAAGTTTCGAACTGTGAGAAAAAATTCTTACAAATTGCTACGAGTCTTATGTCGCAATACTCTTTTGACATTTCGATAAAAATTACGCGAATTGCCATTTTGTTAATCTTGAGTTTCAGCAGAAATTTTCTCTTCTGGGGGACGGACGCGCGAGAACGCACGCGCGCGACGTCGCGTTTTTTTTCCACAAAGCCGACGTCTGTTGGCATGCACACGCGGTCTTCCGTTTCGCGATGCGGTTCCTCGCTCGCTTCTCCTCCGTACGTACACTGTGTGTGCACGTACACGCGTGTGTGCGCGCGACGACGACGACGACGACGACGGACACGCGCGCACACGTTATGCCGGACACGTAGCAGCGGACGCGCGCGCGCGCGCTCCACGATTCTATAAATAAATATATGTACGTATGTTCTTCTCTAATCTGCCCTGAGCACGCGTTGCCGAGAGAGTCTGCGGACAAAGGGCGATAATCAGCCACCAGAAAATCTGCGAAAACGACTGCGTATTATAAACGCCGGCAAAGATAATGGGCGCGCGCGCTCGTTCTCGCTCGATTTGCCGCGAAACGAAAGACGAAGGAAGAAACGCGCAAAAGCGAGAACGAGCGAGCGAGCGAGCGAGCGAGCAAGCGAAACGAACGAACGAACGAACGAACGCGCCCACATCGCATCGTCGCGGTAATTCTACACCGCGGAAAATAGATCCCTCGCCTAGAAGAGCGTCGCTTCCAGAGGCGAGAGAAACGTTTACGGGCTTAATTGCGCGATCGAATCCAAAAAGCAAACCCGCTAATGTGCACCCGCCACGCTATCGTGACCGAGGGCGCATCCGCGCGATCACACGGTAATATAATCGAGATCGCTTCGTCGAATTTATAAAAGCTCACCTACATCCGACACACGTTTGATCGCAAATGATTGTACAACGTTATGAAGAGGGAGCGCAACAATTATTTGTTATCAGAAATTAAATTACAGAGATTAAAGTACATCTTTCTTTTTTTCATCGTTTTGTTTCGTAGTTCAAAAAAAATTATGGTTTCTACATAAATTTATAAAATGAACAATAATTTCTGAATGAAAATTTAGTTTCTAGGAAGAGGGAAGAGAGAGAAAGAGTGTTTGAAAATTCAAAACACATTAGATCTCATCATCTCGCGTTTATCTTGTAATCGTGCCAGCGTTGAATTAATTGACGATATTTGTTAGGAGCGTTTCTTCGGACATGCAGATTAATGGCCTTCGCGTGTGTGTCGGCCGGTCTAATAATAATAATTGAAACGTTTTGCAATTTTGTGTGTTCGCGAGGCTCTTTGAACGGAACATTTTATCTCCTCTATTAGATGATTCAAAGAAAATTCACGCATCAGCGAAATCTCGTTATCTCGCTGCACGCGATTAACTGTGTTATCAATAACTATTAACCGATTATACATATAGCGTATTCGTGCCGAATGATCTAAACGCGCGTCTGTAAAAATTTGTAAAAATCGAGAGAAGATCAGTCCGATCAGATCGGAAGATTAAAATTTCACATCGCGCGATTTCTAGCGAATTCTGTCAAACACGATCGCGTAAACGATTCTCGGTAAGCTACACTCGCGAGACGCGGTTTCACCGTGGCGGGTGGAACCTCCAACGATATTGCACAACGTTGCACAATTCTCTCCGCTCGTTTTCGCATCGCAATCATCATCTCGCATAAAAGCCGGACTCGAGGCTGAAACGTTCGCTCCGACCGGGCAAAACGTGTTCTTTTCCCTTTCTTCAAGCTTACAAAGCTAGGAAAGCGCTCGTCGAGTAAAATACGCGTCTCGCGTTTGCATTTCTCGACTCGATCGCGATTTATTTAAAGTTGTATTCAGAGTAAGATAAAAGATATGCCAGATTATTCAAATTTTGCCAGTCAGTAGATAATATTTAAAAAAAATATTGTGCAAAATTTCAGCTTCTTTGCGAGCCTTGTTAAAAAGTTAGTACGATTTTAATTTAACACGAGTCCTTACGGAATTTCACGATATTCTGATATAAATTAAAAAATAACTGTAGATGTAAATATGCCGTAACTCTGAAACTTTTTGCAGTTGTTAATAAATATCTTAAAAACAAATTCCACTTGAAAATATAGTCATTTCGAGAATATCACGTAAAATATAAATTTATATTTTGCTAAAATTAATAACAATATATATTTAATATACATGAAACAACTATATATTTGTAATTTTATACATCAATTGTTACATTTTAACAAACTTTTATGATTAATACATTTCCAGTTTTTTATTTATCTTACGTTGCAAGTAAGGTATAATCCTACTCAAAAGTATCAAAAGTGAACATTAAAATGGCACAAAATATATATATACGGAAAAACTTTTCCGTAGTCATTAAAAGTATAATAGTTTTTTTAAACTTATTTTAGTACAAATAATACTTTTCCAGCAAACAAGTATTATCTAAATATTAAAATAGGTTCGGTTTACGATATGTGTGTGTCTTAAACTTTTGACTGAGATCTTACCCTGAATACAACCTTAAAAGCGCGACAGGTCGACTTTGTCTTTCCGGCGCGAGTTTCGCGCGATCGAGACGATTCCGCGAAATTAATCGAGCGCTCCGAAGTGAATGAAACGCGAGAAAAACGCGCGTGTGCCGCAGAAAGAGAGGTCCCCCCCCCCTCCCCGTCTCGTCGCGTTTATTTTCAGATTAGGAACGTATCGTTACACGAAGCCGCGCGATCTCCGCCCGTATAAACGTCCTCTTCGAGACTCTTTCCGTGGGCGATAAAGAGCCGCTTCATTCGAACCGCGATCACAATGAGATCGGATATCGCCGCGCGCGGTAAATATTTTCCCGGTTTCTCTTATCCGCGATATTTATTGAACATTCGAAGAATGAATAAACGGTAGATAATGGAGAAACATCCGAGAGAGAGAGAGAGAGAGAGAGAGAGAGAGAGAGAGAGAAAGAGAGAGAGAGAGAGAGAACTTTTCTTTAGAAAGTTATAAAAAAGACGGTAATCACGTCGCAAGCGACACTCGAATGCTCTGAAATTGGATTCGGTGGTTCGAAACGGTGGTGTCAAAAATTACGAATACATACATCTCCGCATTGCTTGTTTCTCGAACAAATATCGTTCGCAAAAATCTCGATTTTTTTTCGCTCGATTACCTGCTGATAAAGCAGCAGTTCCTGCTCGAGAATGTTCGCGATGTCGATCGGGTCCATAGTGGTGGTGGCCATTGCTCGAGGAATCGGTTATTCGTTTCAGTGTGTTATATTCGTTTGTTCGTCGTCAAAAATGTGACGGTGAGATAGCGGGAGATATTGGGAAAGAAAAAAAAGTCAATTAGAGGGAAAAAGGAAAAGGGAAGAGAAGATCGGAAAAGTAGAAAGAAAATTGAAAGTAACAAATGTATCTCCCAGTCGATCGTTCGTTCGTAAAGATCGTTCGGGCGTCGGTGTGCGCGTCGGTGTGTCGTCTCTTGTTTTGCCTTGGCGCACCCCCTTTTCTTTATCCTCGCACCACCGGTCGTATTCTTCTCACTCGAAGAAGAGAGTTTGTCGTCGTCGTCGTTGTCGTTGTTGTCCACTGCGTCCTCCACCGACGCCTCTTTAACACTGAGCGAGCGAGCGAGCGAGCGACGCCGACGCCGCTTCTCGTCGTGGCCTTACGCGACGACGAAACTCTTCCTAAAAATAGCCACCGAATTTCAAGTATGCGCGCTCTTCGCGCGTTTAAACTCTCGACGAGTCAGAGAGGAACTACCGCGGAGACAAAAACGATCGTTTTTTGCGGATTCGCGTCAGATCTTGGTGTGCGTGGACCACTGACCGCGAAAAAAATGATCGTAAATCCTTCCTAAAGTTGCGTCCAGAATCACGGAACCTTGTCACCTGTGACTCGTTTTTGTCTTTGTAACGGTGTCACAAACTGGTTTTTCATTTATCTGCAGCAGAATGTGCTCCGACATGTTTTCTGACTTGCACACGATAGCTTCCCGAAACCCGAAGCCGTGCGAAAATGCTCGAATCGGCAAGTTTTGGCAGCAATTAAAATTGTGATTTCACTTTTTCAAAAGTCATTTCGCGCAATTATAAATGTTAAAAAAAAGTTGAACGCGATTAATTGTTTAAATTGAATTTACATGCAAGATATACAATTTTTGTTTTCGATCGCGTTTTTACGCAACGTATAAAAGTCACGATTTGCGTCAGTGCCGCATTAAAGTTTCGAAAGTGAAACGGCATTTCTAACGACTCTGTCACCGGGATCGGTGGTTTTCCCGCTCAGAAATCAGAAAATCCCTGTTACGCGGCCGCTTGTCTAGAGGAGTCTTAATTAGTTCGGTTTCTAAGTTTAACACCTGTGTTAAGGTTGTTTGTCGTCGACGCGCCGACGGCGCGGATTCGTCGACTTTGGACCCGCGCCAAATCTCGACCGTCGACGCGATCTCAAGCGTTTCAACGCTTCACTATCCCGAAGGATCGGTAATCGCGCGAATTTAATGATCGGCGCATCTTGCATCGAGAAAATGCAGAGGGGGGGGACTATCCAGGCCGAGAAAATACATATATTGATTATTTTGATCAAATAAACATCGAGATAAATAAATTAGGCAATCAATATCTTTGATCGGATACTTCAACGAAATAAACGTTGAAAAAAAAAAAAATATATTTGAAAAACATGTATATTTTACATTTGCGAAGAACATGTATAATATTTTACGTTTTTTTTATTAAGCGCATAATTTATGCACTGTTTTTAATGTCACGAAGAAACAAGCGAGAATGAAAAGGTTAAAAATAGTTGCGTTAATATTTGATAAAGTTGTTTATCTGTCGTGTTGGACACTTTCAACACGGATGTGGGTTTCTCGTGTTGTTGAGAGAATAAGTTCACAGTAAAAAAAAAAATGGTAATTTTAACATTTTCTGCATGTTCCAGGAGGTCCACTCTAAATTTTACGTTAAAATAACTCATTCGTTGTGAGTCACTTATTGACAAACTAGTAAAGTCAAATACTTGACACAACACTTTACATTTATATTTGTTATTTTGACTGTAAGCGTGATGTAAAAATAACATATAAAATAATTAAAACTACACAAAACAGTAGTTGCAGTAGTAACTCGTAAAAAAATGTTAATAAAACATTTTAGTTTATACAATGTGGCCAAAAATTTTTAAAATTTTTTTAGTATGTTAAATTGACTTTGAGACATCTAGATTAATTTAAATCATTGTGTTAAAAGCACTTAAACAATATTCCATTTTTAAATGACATGCAAAAAATGTTAATTTGTGAAGTTAACATAAATTTAACACGTGAAAAGATTAAAAAAATAATAAACATATCAGTATTATGTTAATTTTACATTGAAGTAATAATCAAAATGTCGTAACACAAGAAAAGTTCTACATTTTGACGCACGAGTTTTTACTGTGTTGATGTGGCGCCAGGACGACACGTGAAATGTATATCACATATTCGTACAAATATTCCTAAAACTGTTTTTTCTGGAAAAATTTTCGAGTTGGATACAAATACTGGCACAGAGATAATATTCTATCTACTCGCAATTATTCGGATACAAAAAGAATTAAGATATTAATAAAATTAACGAACATTACACGCTCGTCGATAATAAATCGATTAATAAATCGACGATTTTTGTAACAAAGAGGCAAATCGAATTTTTAACGAGTTTACGATCGCCAAGAAATCAAACGCGTCTCGTTCGCTTTCGTATCATTCGGAAAGAGAACTCTTTCTCTCTCTCTCTCTCTCTCTCTGTGAACACGAGACAGACATTAAAAACCAGCTTATCTCGCCGTGATATGAAAACATGTGGCAGCCAGGTTACCATAAACAATCCGCGTGTTTGACCAGCCGAGCCTGTCACGGACTTCCCCAACGCCAAACACTACCGTCGACGGCCATTGTGCGTGAAAGATTGCCATGCTACTACTGTCAACAAACTACTAGGCAAGGAAAATATCAATAAATTTTGTCAGGTCATTTCCAGAAAGTTTTCATACCTATACTTTTCACAAAAACACTATATATTTACATGTTATTTCAAAACTTAAGCATTGTATCTTTAATATAATTGTTATTATTTTTTTTCCTTACATCGGCATATTATTTCCATTCATGTGGATGAATTTTTGAGTTCGCGAAAGAATTAAAACGCAGTTATTTTTTTTACATTGATAAATGACACGCGCAAATTGCGGCCGACTTAGAGAATCACATCCATTATTAGTCCGAGTCTGCTAATCTAGAGAGAGAGAAAGAATCGCGATTGAAGATTACGCTTATTTGTATGTAATACAACCGCGCGATTGCGTAACAAACAACAGTAAAATCGACATCGGCCGAGAACCGCGCGCTGTAATATTTATGTGTGTCGAAGTATTCTCTCTCCTCTCTCTCTCTCCCTCTCTCTCTTCTCTCTCCTCTCTCTCTCTCCCTCTCTCTCTTCTCTCTCTCTCTCTCTCTCTCTCTCTTCTCTCTCTCTCTCTCTNCTCCCTCTCTCTCTTCTCTCTCTCTCTCTCTCTCTCTCTCTTCTCTCTCTCTCTCTCTCTTCTCTCTCTTTCTCTCTTCTCCGACCGCCCCTTTCGCGCACGCGATTAATCGTGTCACCGGTTATTACGTGGTAAATAATACATATAAAAGCGAGCAGCACGGCGTGCGTTTCCGCGGGGACCGCCGGAAAAAGTGCGGTCGCGAAGCCCACACCGCGAGCGAGAACCTTGGGATAACAAAGGAAACCTCTATCTGTACCTCTACTTTTTTTTCTCCGCTTCCGTTTTGCGAACCTTGAACGTCTTTCTTCTCGCGACACTCGCGACTTCGCAATTCTCGCGGCACACACACACACACGGGAAAGAAAAAGATCAAGCGGAATGTAAAATGTTCGCCACGCCGCAAATTCGCCTCGTCGCGTTTTTTTTTCAGGACGCGTTCCATGTACAGAAAAATATTTCCAGTGCGCGCAAATATATATGTACGCACGTATATATATATATGTGTGTGTGTGTGTGTGTGTGTGTTGTGTAACTCCGCTCCGGTGAATTATTAAACTTTGTTGTTGACAGCAGAATTAAAGAATTCCAAGAATTTCTAATAAATAACGTATTTCTATCGTTACGTATGTACATATGTACATGCGTTGTGTTTCAAAACGTGAGTTTTCCCCGTAAAGGGAAGGTTTCCATTTACGATACGCGTGTTAACTTACGTGTCGATACGCTAGTGGCAAAACGCGCCGAGAGAACAAAGAATGTGTAAACACGATAACGCGAGCGGTACACGCGCGTTTACGTACGTATATACGAAGCGCAAAGAGAACATATCTGCGGTGAAAACTCGCCGGTTTTTTTTTTTGCGAGCGGTAAAAATTCAAACGCGCGGCAATTACGAGAGAAAAAGAATAATGTAATCGAAAAACGCGCGCGTAAGTTTATTTTAACGACGAAACGTGTAACGACCGAGGTAAAATATATATTGAACAGGGAGAAGCGAAAACTAGTTTATGCCGGGATTACGCAACCAGCAAAGTGCGAACTTCTTCTCTCTATCTTTGTCTCTCTTTGCTCGCTAGTTGTTTTATCCGCGTTTGAAACATTAAGAAACTACACTAAAAGACGCTTGTTTACGCGATGCTCGAGAAAAATACAACGCCACGTGCGATTCGAGTTTTCCCGGAAGAAACATTTTGAAATGTGGATGTGCAATTTTTCGAAAGAGAGAGAGAGAGAGAGAGAAAAAAAAAAGAGAGAAATCGCGCGTCACGACTGAAAATAGTCGAAAATCACTTCGAGATATAGTTCTTTAAAATAATGGAGCCATTTACGGACGCGCTAGAAGAGAGTTTGATGCGTCGCCGCGCCATCGTCGCGCAGATGCACGTAAAGACGTGCCATTATGCGACGATTATCTAGCATGATGTGACGTCAATCAACACGACTGATGCCATCGTGCGAAGTATATATGAATTTTTTTTTCTTTATTTTTAATCGTCGTGAAATTGCGTCTGTTGCGCTGCGTGCAACAGAAATCCTAATAACTCGCGATCTAACGCAATTTTTCCGTTCTTAGAAATTTAATTGAAAGGTCGCCACGCGCGGGAAGTTTTTTCTTCTGAGCCATCAATATTCACGCGAGTGGCATATTTCCATTAAACGTGAAAGGTAGGAAAGTCCGGCTATTTGATTGTTAAAAAAAACGCGCTTACGTGAACGACATTGCGCGCGTACGAAATGGAACCGAGCGAGTCTAAAGTGCAAACGGCGGAGAGAAGCAACAAACAGAAAAAAAAAAAACTGGCGGAGAAATAGCTGGAGCGATAACAAAGGCGGTAGAAACTAAACGCGCGTGTAATCATTATCTCTTCTTCTCCCCTCCCTGCTCCACTTCCCTCCACAATGGCCGGACAAAGATCGGAGGAGTTCGGGGGATTTCCCAACATCCGCGACAATTTTTCGCGGTGAAACGGCTACGAACCACGTCACGAAGCGTGAACGATGGCGGCGCGATTGAGGAAAAAAACAAAAAAACAAAAAAAAAACCGAATCGCCACCCGCGCGAAACGGACCGTGCGAAAAATATCGCAACGATCAC